CGCAGGGATCCCCACGCTGCAGGAATTGCCCACGTCCAGGCATTTTCTGTGCTGGTGAGCGTTTCCCCTCCAGAGCCTTCCTCAGCCATCCTCATCCTCCTCGTCCCCCCCCCCCAGCTGTGAGCAGTGGTTCCCCACTGCCTTCTCGGGCAGGGGCCATCCCTGCCTCCATCCCTCAGCATCCCAGGGAGCCTGTCCTCGGCTCCTTTTTGCCTTTCCCTGGAGCTGGGGCAGAAGGCAGCCCAGTCCCCTTCCGTCTCCTGCAAACTCCCGCTCTCTCTGCTGGCTTCTGGGGTCGTTGTTCTCTATCACAGGAAGAAAAAGGCAGGGCATTAGGGATAGAGCTCCCGGGTAAGTTCGTCGAGTCCCCGGGTGTCCTGAGAGCTGGCTGAGCATCTGTGAGTGGGACTGGGTGACAAAGGCAGTGGGACAAGCTGGAAGGACGAGCTCAGGTGGGAATTGCTGGTGACATGGGCCAGGTGTCTAGGGGCAGCCTGGGAATACTGCACAAACCGCCTGGCTAAAAGAGCACTGAAAGGTGCTGCAAGTACCAGTGTAGCAGAGGAGAAATCCCAGGGGAACCAAAGAAGCTGGCGTGCAGGGGAGAATCCGAAATGAGATCCCACCTGGAAACCAAAAGTTACCGTGTGGGTACGGGAGAAATCCGAAGCAAAGGTATGAAGCGGTGGTGGCTGGAGGAGACCCAGAGGTGAAGCCAACCAGCGTGTAGAGTCTGAATTTCAGCCCTCCAGGCAGGAGTGTTATCCCTGGCTTGGGGAGAGGGGGGGACGTCTGTGTAACAGGCACCGGTTGGGGCTCAGTTTCAGAACTGGGCGGAGCTGCGAGACAGAGGGACCTGTGTCCATGCCCAAATAGAATTGGGAACTTCAGGCTGTTGCTGGCAGAGTAAATGACTTTTTATTTTGTCTGTTTGTGTCTTTCACTTTGTGCGTCTTTCCATTCACTTCCCAAAGAGTCAGTCTTCGAAGTTACAAGATAGGTTTCAGTCAATCTCCATCTAAGCAGCTATGCTGCTGCTTCTCTGTTGCTTGTCAGGAAGGTGGAAAATTTGAGGTATGACTAGAGTGATGTCTCTTTGGTTGCTAAGGTATTAACATTTTTTGCATTTTCGTCTCTCTAGAGCCCCTTGCCCTGCCAGTTTCTGGATGCCAAGCACCTCCTGCTCACGCAGCTGATGAATGCGTGAAGAAGAAGCTGACCAGGATAGGGACTCTTAAGCAGCTGCTAAGATGGGCATGAGGATCAAGTTGCACAGCACCAATCACCCCAACAACCTGCTGAAGGAACTCAACAAGTGCAGGCTCTCTGAGACCATGTGCGACGTCACCATTTTGGTGGGCACCCGCTCCTTTGCTGCACATAAGGCTGTTCTGGCCTGTGCCGCAGGCTACTTCCAGAACCTCTTTCTGAACACGGGGCTGGATGCTGCTAGGACCTACGTAGTGGATTTCATCACGCCGGCCAACTTCGAGAAGATCCTCAGCTTTGTGTACACCTCAGAGCTCTTCACAGACCTAATCAATGTGGGCGTCATTTACGAGGTTGCAGAGCGGCTGGGCATGGAAGATCTGCTGAAGGCCTGCCATTCAACCTTCCCTGACTTGGAGAGCTCAGCCATCACAAAGCAACCCTCCCTGGCCATGAGTGAAGGTCGGTCAGGTCCTCTGAGTAGCACCTCCTCAGAGCAGAGCCATTCTTTGGGTGAAATCCGGAGTGGCGGGGAACATTTTGGCCCTGAACGGAATTACATCTTGCATGGGGAAGTGGCAGGCAGCTACAAAGAGGATGACAGGAATACCATGAGTGAAGCCAGCCAGACTCTTCCCCTGATGCATCCGCAGCAGCCTCCCAAGACAGAACAGGAATCGGATCAAGGGCAGTTCGCTCCTGCCGTGAGTATGGCGACCCAGCCCAGCCTGGGCGGTGTGAACATTGTTGTTCAAACCACTACAAGCTCCTGCCAGCAGTATAAGGTCCAGAGCAATGGCGACTACGGCAAAGGCGGATTCTTTACCGCTGATCCTTCTCTGGACATCTCCACTGGGAGCAACTCCTGTCCCAGCAACAGTGACCACTCCAAAGAGCAAGGTTTTGGGCAGATGGATGAGCTTCAGCTGGAGGATTTGGGTGAGGATGAACTGCGTTTCGAAGATGCCAGTGAAGAGCTGGGCCCATCAGAAGAAGTTATTGAGCTGAGTGATGACAGTGAAGAAGAGCTGGCCTTTGAGAACGACAGCCGGGATAGCAAGGCCATGCCCTGCCAGGTGTGCAAGAAGGTCCTGGAGCCCAACATCCAGCTGATCCGCCAGCATGCAAGAGATCACGTTGATCTGCTCACCGGGAACTGCAAGGTCTGTGAAACCCACTTCCAGGACCGGAACTCCAGGGTCACTCATGTTTTGTCCCACATCGGCATCTTTCTCTTCTCCTGTGACATGTGCGAGACCAAGTTCTTCACCCAGTGGCAGCTGACCCTCCACCGACGAGAAGGGGTCTTCGACAACAACATCATCGTCCACCCCAGCGACCCGCTGCCGGGGAAGATCACCATGTTTGGGGGAGGGCCTGGCTCAGAGCTGGCGTGTGCTGCCTGCGGGAAGCCTTTGGCCAAAGATTTCCACACCATCCGCAACCACATCCTGGACCACGTGAACTTGAAAAGCCAGATGTGCGGCGTGTGTGACCAAAGGCACCTCAGTCTCTGCAGCCTGATGTGGCACACCCTGTCTCACTTGGGGATCTCGGTCTTCTCCTGCTCTGTTTGTGCCAACAGCTTCGTGGATCGGCACCTCCTGGAGAAGCACTTGGCCGTTCACCAGAACATGGAGGAGGCTCTTTTCCGGTGCCACTTCTGTGGTCAGAGCTTCAAGCTGGAAGCAGCGTATCGTTACCACGTCAGCCAGCACAAGTGCGGGGGCAGCCTGGACATCCGACCCAGCTTTGGAGACCGTCTCCAGCAGCAGGGCCTGCAGAAGAGGAAGCTGCCGGAGGAGTTCCTGAGCGAAGACTTGGCACTGCAAAACCAGCCAGGCAATAGCAAGTACAGTTGCAAGGTCTGCGGGAAGAGGTTTGCCCACACCAGTGAATTCAACTACCACCGGAGGATCCACACCGGAGAAAAGCCCTACCAGTGCAAGGTGTGCCACAAGTTCTTCCGCGGTCGCTCCACCATCAAGTGCCACCTGCGGACGCACTCGGGAGCCCTCATGTACCGCTGTACTGTGTGCGGGCATTACAGCTCCACGCTCAACCTCATGAGCAAGCACATAGGCGTGCACAAAGGCAGCCTCCCCCCGGACTTCACCATCGAACAGACTTTCATGTATATCATCCATTCCAAAGATGCGGAGAAAAACACAGACAGCTGATGGGGTGAGGCAGGGCAGGGCCAGCAAAGGAGCAAATACTAATTACAGAAGCTGTGGAAAAAATGTCATTTATTTTATTTAATGGTCAGGCATCATGGATGGAATCCTCCTTTTCTATTTTTTTTTAAATTTTTTTTGGCCTTGCTAGGGCTTTTTAGATTGGTGGCATTGTACAAATTAACAGCACGTAAGCTACATCACTGTTTCCAAGAAGTCTGTCGTGTTTACTTACCTCTGGTCCTGTTAGAGGCCATCGAGTTCTGTGTTTTTAGCATTTCTCACTAGGTTTTGAATCTAGATTTTTTTTTTTTTTAACCTTTTAGCCCACTTGACTAGGCTAACCCTCAGTTTGAGCTTGTCCACAAACTGATGCTGCTAAGATTTTTCACACCTGACCTCAGTAGAGAGGGACAGAGCCAGAGCAGGATGGTGCTGGACTCGAAGAAAAGGAAAAAAAAAAAGAAAGAAAAAAGGAGAAAAAGACTTGTTCTGGGCATCACTGGGGTTCTGCTGCTATTGCGAGGAGATAAGCAAAGTCCGTGTCACAGAATCAGCCTTGAAGTCGTTGCTCCGTTGCAGGGGAGATGAGCAAGCAGCGTGTGAGTGTGCACACGCAAACGAGGAGGGATACCTGGTGGTAAATTGAGTAGGAGGGTGATTGTCGCTCGCAAGGGCAGTTCCCAGGCAGTGCCACTGGTCTCCAGGAGCCCTGCCTGAGCAGGGAGCGTGGGTGGCTGTTTCTCTGCTGTGCCCGTGACATGCCGCTTGCTTGTGCCCCGAGACCCCATCTCTGAAGGTGGAGATGAAGGAGTGACACCACCTCTCTGAAGAGCCTGAGCAGCGGGGCGGCTGCGTGGAAGGAAAGAGGCAGATGCGTGAGCAAAAGGAGCTCTCGGAGGAGTCGCTGGAGAGGGCAGGGAAAGCAGGTTCATGTCGTGGGGTCAGCTGTTCCTTGGGAGGTATTTTGTGATGGCACGGTCACGCCTAACTTCTGCCAGCCTGCAGCTGGCCATCGAGAGCGTGCCGATGTCTCCTCAGCTCTCTTCTGCCGACGGCAGCCCTGCACGTTGTGCTTTGCCGGCATGGTGTGTCCCAGGGCTGCCAGTTGCTGGAAGCGCTGGATGCCAGAGAGTGGCATCGCTGCAGCTGCATGGATCCCAGCAGACAAGACGTGATGAAGCTGTTGCCTTAACTCCCAGGAAGGTACCTTTGAGGACTCTTCTCTCTGCTGAACGGATAGCCCCCTCCCGTGGCTGCCGCCGTGGATCACTGCATCCCAGACATGTCTCGTGGCAAACGTGTGTTGCAAGATGTTGGTGCGACGTAAGTTCGTTCATCTTTTGTCGAATCATGCTGTAACTTCAGCAGGCACCGGCTGGGGGCTGTGGCAGAGCAGCTCTGGGAGCTGGCAGCAATAGCAGCTGGTGAGAACCTCAGCTCAGCCTCTCCTGGATGCACGTCAGGTGCGGGCTGGGGACTCCTCGTCGCAGTGGGCTCTCCCGGCTGCGCTGGTGAGGTCAGCCCCTTGCCGGCAGTGTTTACACCAGGAAGGGTGGGGATCGGCTTTTTCCCATGTTATCCTGCTGTGGGGCAGAGGTGGAGAGGAACAAGTATTTCCGATGCCGCAGCATGAGTTATGACTGCTCTTAGGTAACTCATTCTACCTCACAAACAGGAAGCGCTCAGGGTTTTCAAGCCACAGTCATAGTAAATTGGCTCCTGCGCTTCTGTAAAGATATGGTGTTACAAAACAAAACTAGTGATTTGCAAACCCTGTAAACTCATCCCGCTTTCCCCTCCTTTTGAAGGGACAACCCGCGGCAGAGGAGCAGCGTGGGCTGGACGCGTGGTTGGTGAGCTAGGAATTCCTGGGGGTCGCTCCCCTCACTCCGCTGTGGCCTTGGGCAAGTCACTTCACCTCTTTGCCTCAGTTTCCTCATCTGTAAAATGAGGGTGGTAACACTTGTGGTACCTACCTACCTCCCGGGGGTGCGGTGAAGATTGCTGGCTCGTACCTGCAAAGCGTGTGGGAGACGCAAAGCGCTTAGTGAATATTGATGTTTAGCGTCCTAGGGAAATGACAGCCTCCATCCTTTCCTGTTCTTTACCAGTCCCAGACCTGGCCAGGTCGGTTTACTCCTGTTACAGCCTTCCCCGTCGAAACCAAACTTCCCTTTAGCCCCGTCCCTGTCGCAGTCGTGTAAAGAAGCTCTGTAGCAATATAAGAAGTGGGGACGGCTCGGTGCCGCTGTGTCTGTGGAGGGGCTGGGGGAAGCGACAGTGTGTGTGCTGAGGGCTAGCAGCTCTGTAATGTGCCCTGGGGTTTGCAGAGCACTTCTCCCCATCAGCTGGGAGAGGGAGCGGGAGGAGTTGACATCCCGGGGAGAGAGGGGTTGGAGGGCGCAGAGGTGTGCAGCTGCTGGAAGCCCCTGCCCTTCAGCTCCATCCGTTCTTCGATCCCCGCGGTTTGCCTGTAAAGCTGCGTTTCCACCGCAGCAGCTTCAGGTCCAGGTCCAGCTCCGCTGTGACGGGAGAAGAGGCAAGAGTCTGTGTCGAGCCGTGTCCCCGCCGGCAGTGCTTGAGCCCTGGCTGGACCTAATGACTCTTCCCAGGCAGCTCCTTCATCCTGAGCGTGGGTCATCCTCAGTCACCCCATGGACCTGCAATACCCGAGGCTGATCCTGCTACACGGAGGTGGGGTGGGAGGAACAGACCTTGCTGAGGAGGAACAAGAGGACAAGGCTGAGGATGAGGCTGTTGGGAGTTTGTGTCCTTTCCCCAATCCCTGTAATATTGGCTGGGTTTGGGGCCAGCTGGCATCGCCCTGGGGGGTGTTAAACTGGATTTGTCCTGATTTTGGTGCCTGGAGCCTGTTTTTGGAGGAGGAGAGGCACTGAAATGATTGCCGACCCTGGGGCTGTCCAGGCTGTGCCACGTCTGCCACTGGAGCTCTGGTTTCCAAACTCCAGTCTCATAGTGCCGGTCAGTTGCCAGGCTGTGATCTGTGATCTCTAGCTGGTCTGCGGAGCCATGTTTAGCCTAGTGTTGTTAAGTTTAAAGGAAAAAAAATCATTTCGAGAATGCATGGTGCTCTAGGAAAGCGTGGGAGTTGGCGGTTCACTGGAGGCTCCTCTGAGGAGCTCTTTGAGTTACGGGGTTTCTTCGTTGTCCTGGTGGTGACAAGATGGGCTGGTAGACAGGAACGGATGCGACCTGCTCTGCTCTGGAGATTGCAGTGAAGGATGTGAGGGAGGCAGACGAGGCTTGGGAGAGCCGAGTCCTTAAAGCCTCGAGACCCTCCTAAAATGTCCCAGAAGCTGTGATGAGCTTTTGGATGGGTTGGGGTGCTGCCACGTGGTAGCATCTGCAGCCCCATATCTAGCTAAGCTGTGAAGCAAAAGCCTTTTGTGCACATAAACCAAAAAGAGAAGCTTTTACACTGAAACACTAATGGGCAAAGCAAACCCACCCTTCTGAGCACAGGGATGGGAAAGTAAAAGCCCACCTCATTTTCTGCTGGTCGTTTTTGGGTGTGGGGATGGAGGGGAGCGCTTGGGTCCCTGGCGTTTCTGTGTCTTGGATTCTTTCCTGTGTTATAATGAATTATTCCCACGTGAAACGTGTTGAGATCAGCAGCAAGCCCTGTCTGCAGAGGGGATGGGGGGACAGATCTGGACCTGCAGCACTCCTGCACTGGGCTGGCCTCATGCCGCGGCTCCTCCTCAAAGGGATTGTCCCAAGAGGGGTCAGAGACCTGCATTCTCCCTCCCCTGGCAGGGTCCTGGGTGTCTCCAAGCCTGCAGCCAGCACCAGAGCTCTGTCGTCCCCATCCCCTCAGCAGTGTGACTGTCCCTGAGTCTGGCCAGCCTGGCTGGGAGCTCCAGCATTCCTCCAGAACGCTGTGTAGATGGAGCAAGTCCTGAGTCCCCCACAGGCTGCGTTGCCCCAAGGAGCCATAGCTCCGACCCGGCTGCGTCATGGTGGAGTCACCCGGTGATGGCGGGGGCTCCCGGACAGCAGCGCGGGGCTGTGTGTGTGCCGGGGGTGCAGCTGCGCACGGCTCTGTGTCGGAGGCCAAGCACCATTCGCAGTGGCGGGGAACCAGGGTGGGAACCCCGTGCCTGGGTCCATTCCTCGCTCCACCGCTGACTTGTGGTGCAGCCTTTGTCAAGCCTGCTCGCCTCCTGGCCTCGCTTCCCCCCACCCCGTGAACGTGGGGGCGACACTTACCTACCTCGCCTGGAGCAGCTGTGAGGTTTAACTCGTGTTTGCAAAGTGCTTTGGGATCCTTGGGGTGCAACAGGGGAATGCAGAGGGGAAATACTTCGCTGTGAGCTGTGCTAGCGGTGTTTGCAGAGAGCAGCTGGGTTGTGGGTCCTCACGGGAAGCCCTGACACAAAATCCCCCTCCAAAAGGCAGTGCTTCGAGACTGGTCTTACTCCAACTTCTAAACCGCAAAGTTCAGTTTTATTCTCCCCTTTCTCAAAGGATCCAGGTCTCAGAATAATTAAGCAGAAGTAAAAGAGTTGAATTGCTGTCTAACCTTTTCGTTAAGTTAATAGTAGGTACTGACCTCCTGATATTTAAGTGTTTACTATCTATTTGCTGTAAAGTTTTGTATATTTTGTAAACTTTCCCCCCAAATAGTAGATGTCTAAAATTGTTGTACATCGGGTTCTTTTATACTCCATTGTTCAGCACAAAGTGTGGTTTTTATTTAGAATAATAAAATGGAAAATGTTGACCTCTTGTACCTTGCTTCTTTATAAAACTTGTTTCTTTAAATGTGCAGATTGGCATTTCTGTCTCTTCAGGAGTGCCTGGGAAAGCACGTGAGCTGTTCCTGGTATCCTGCTCCTGTGCTGTGCTCTGCAGGATTTGTGGCACGAGTCCAGGCAGCCGGGGCCTCTTCCTCACTGCCTTCTCCAGCACCCGGAGCAGCGCGAGGAGAAGCGACTCTGGCATTTCTGCAGACTGCTTCCACAGCAGGCTGGGAGCAGAGCACTCGTGAAACCCTAAGAAGCGACTCTGGCATTTCTGCAGACTGCTTCCACAGCAGGCTGGGAGCAGAGCCCTCGTTAGAAACCATTTAGGAAATTCTCGGGGTTTGTGTTCCTTGATAAGCCCTTTCTGTGCTGCCAGTGCTGTGTTTCACCGAGACCTGGACCTTCGCAGGCTCGGAGCTGTTGGCTGGCAAGCCAGATCAGTGGGCAAACACTGCTGGCATTTTCAAGAGCCGCTTTAGCTTTTCTCCAGCAGTGAGGCTTCCTTCTCATTTCGGGGTTGGGGCGACCTGCTGGCTGGGCACTGCCGTCGGCCGGGGCTGCTGGTCTCGGTTGCCACTGGAGCTACTCGGGCAGAGCTGCTCTGGGGAGAGCTTACCTGGTGGGACAGGACCAGTTCCCCATCACCAACTCGGTGACCAGCAGCGGGCACTGGAAATTCAAGCTGGGAGGGTGGTCCAAGGGTATATAGTCAGTAATTGCTAAAGGAGCCTGTGGCTGGGCGAGTTTACCCTTAAGGGGTGGTGAAGGCTTTAAAGGGAGACTGAGGGACCCAGCTAAGGGACTTGCTGGGTTTCAAGCCCAGATCACTGCGTCGGGCTGTATGAGGGTTTATTTGAGGCCACTCAGGCCCTGAGGTCTATGAACAAAGTTGCAGATGCATTAGGAGAGTTAAAAAACCACAAGTTTAATAGGTCAACTACCAAGTTTTACATGTTTTAAGTAACTTGAAATTGAGTATGTTGCTGTCCTGGTTATGTCACACCTCAAGTGTCTTCTTATTGTGTACTTATCTTCCATGTCTTCATTGAAAATGGCAGGGTATTAGTAAAAGGAAGCCTTAGGGAAGATTCAGGATCAGAGCTGTGGGTCATGTCAGCATGAAGCTGCCTTCGCATTCACCGGCCAGTTTTGGGGCTGCTCGGCTTCGCTGCACACGTTGTGCCCAGGAGGGTCACGGGGACAAAGGCAGTGAGGTCCTGTGTCGGTGCAGATCCCGAAGGACAGCCTCTGCCCCGAGGGCTTACAGTCTAAGTGGCTCTACACTCTCAAGTTGTGAAACTGTGTAAGTAACATAATTAAGGAAGAGGAACGGCCGTGAGTTGCTTCCCTCAACAGGGTGCTGTTGTGTCTGAGGGGACTAGCTTCTTCCCCAGCTGTAGTACAAAATATTTCTGTTTAAGAGACAGATTTGGCTTTTTCTGTCAATGCTAGTATCCCTTTGTAGTAAGAAGGAACACCTCTGTGCACAAGGAGTCCTGAAGTATTTAGTGATTTACTCTGTCACAGGACCCCTGTAAATAGCAGAGCTGTTCCCAGCCAGTCCCGTGATAACTGTGCGCCCGTGTTAACCCCTGGTCGTGGGCTTCTCCTGCAGCCTGGGACATCCTGCTCCCCACCCACCGCTCTCTGCTGCAAGCATCCTGTCCCTAGATTTGCTTATGCTTTGCTTTTTTAAAAATGTGTTTCTTGAGCAGCTCAAGGCCTTTGGTAGATTTATGAACTCCCTTCTAGTGACTGTCGCTCTTTCACCTTCCCCTGCCAAGGGCTTGACCCGCAGCACGTGACTTAGCAGAATCCGGACAACAATGAACTTTCTCTGGATGCTCCAACTTCTTACACAGCCAAAGCCCAGCCCATGCTTCAGCTCCGAAGGTTTCTACATGCATACGCGTTCCCATGGGGTGTGCTTCAGTGCGACTTTGATTGAAAGGGAGCACGCGTGAAGGGCTGCCAGAGTCTGCCAGCGTTTAGAAACACACCCAGTGGCCTTAGAAACCTGCCAGGAGATGCTCTAAAGGAGGCTGGGTTTAATGGGATGGGTCTCCTGCTGCAAAACACAAACTGGGAACCCTACCTCTGCTGACACCGGTCATGTTTGGAAGCAGCCGTGCCCAGTCAAACCCAGTTTTAACCATCACTAATTTACTGCTGGGTTTGCAAAATTGCTCTCAACTAGTCGCTGATCTCGAATCGTTCCTCCCCTCGTTAAAGCTCAGGTCTGTGTTGTGCTCAGCCCCTCAGGGTTGCGTTGCCTTCATTTCTGTAAAATCAGGCTTTCAGCTGTTTGCCGGGCATGGGGAGAAGAGGTTTGTGTTTCAAAGGAATGAATTTCCTCTCTCCTGTTTGGTATGGCATCACAGCAGAAGGGCAGCATTCACCGGACACTTCTGCAGCGCGGCGTATCCGGAGCACATGTGTAAGTGAAAGTTGGGGCCTGCAGAAAAACTTGTGGTGAAGAGAAAGGATCGTGTGCCCCCAGCCCTGTGGCTCGGGGTGGGTGGGTACGGGGGTCAGGTCCTAGGGGCCAGATTTGTGTTCAGACTTCAGAGCAGGCAGAGTAATGCACTTTATTACTGCAAGTGTTTCTTTTGGAAAACAGGAAATACCTCTTTCTCGTATTCTTTCTTTAGCTAAATAGATCTGATACAGCAGCACATCAGAGAGGCAAGATGTCTGTAGCTCCCCGCACCATCTCATTTCACATTTGGCACCCTGCCCTGCCTTCAGAGCACAGGAGGTGGCCAGCCAAGAAATGTTGTTTAAAAGCAAAGTGTCTGCTTATCACCAGGAAAACAATCTTACTGACCTCAGTGAGTGCAGAGAGCTCCCCCCCCCCCCCCCCCCACCCCATGCCAGTGATGAGTGGGAGAGTCCGATCCCCCTTAATTGGGAGGGTTGTTTTCCTTTGTGATGACTATGGAGTGCTGCGTGGTGGAGGAGGAATTGTCTGCGCCCTTCTGGCTGCCTTGGTCTTTGGGGATGTACTTAACCACGGCGGAGATGAGCTTGCTGCGGAAGTTTTTGCTTAGGAAGTTGTAGAGGATTGGGTTAATCACGCAGTGGAGCAGGGTGAAGCAGTCTATGATGTCATAGAAGAAGTAGAGGAAGTGGGCAAAGGTGCAGTGGAGGATGATGTGGTTGCCGTCGAGGGTGAGCAGTGTGAGCATGATGTGGAAGGGCAGCCAGCTGATGAGGAACACGACGATATAGGCATAGATGAGCAGACAGTGCTTCCTGCTCTCCGGCTTGGTGCGCTTGATGAACCTGGCCGTCAAGATGTTGAAAACAGTGATGATGGGGAAGGGGATGAGGAACCCAATGGTGGTGGTGGCCAAGCTGACTGCCAGCGCCCACTCGTCATAGGTCTCGAAGGGGGCCATGAAGATGCAGATGGGCTCTCCGGTATTGACCAGCTGCATGTGAGCAACCTCCAGGAATGGGATCACTGCTGCCAAGACCCAACTGCAGGCGCAGATGATGCGGCGTGCACGGTGCTGGTGCTTACGCCAGAAGAGGGAGGAGCTGGTCAGGGACACGTAACGATCCACACTCAGGCAGGTGAGGAAGAAGATGCTGGCGTACATATTGGCAAAGTAGAAGTAGTGCGTGAAGCGGCAGAGGAAGCTGCCCCAGAGCCAGGTGTAATCCAGCATCACCTCCAGCATCCAGATGGGCAGTGAGAGCAGCACTCCAAGGTCAGCAATGGCCATGTTGATGATGTAGAGGTTGACCAAGTTCTTGTTGCCCCGTGTCTGCCAGTTGACCCAGATGACAAGGAGGTTCTCCACCAAGCCCACCACGAAGATGACCAGGTAAAGGATGAAGAGGATCACCCGCTTGATGTTCTCATCCAGGCTGAACTCGCAGAAGGTGTAGGTGTAGTTCAGGAGGTGGAAGAGCTCGGACCAGTTGTGGTAGTCCCCGTACTCATTCAGGAGAGTGTGCGTCTCGGTGGGGGCAGTGGTCACCTCAGCCATCCTGGTAGCTGCAAGGAAAGGGAAAGCACCGAGTTGTGGCTCAGTGGCTGCACTGAGCCAGACAGCTTGGAAATACAGAGAAACAGCCAATCTCTCCTGTCAGAGCTCAGTCTTCGCGGGAGGCTCTGGAAGTACCCATCTGCTTTTTTTTTTTAATCCAGTTTTTATTCCTATGGTGAATTCCTACATCAGCCCTCAGAAGATGCTGTATCCACATTGGACGATAACCTCACGTCCCAGGCAAAATGCAAGCCACAAACACCAGCCGCCTGTTCACCAACACATGCTCCCAGGTGGTGGTTGTCCCTGTCTCACAGCCTGGTCAGCTGGGGCCAGGGACCAGGGACAAGCAGTGCTAGGGACTGATGGAGGAGAGGGATGAAGGACAGGTGAGAGCACCCACAAAGCTCCAAGGCTCAGCAACATCAGTCACTGCAGAAACGGAGCTGATGACCCAGGAGCGCAGCGACCTTTGGGCGGGAGCCCCCCCTGCCGAGGCTCGTGCTGTCCCCCCGGCACCTCTGGAGCTGAGGTCTGGCCGCCACGGAGCCTGTGGGAATCCTGACCCCAGCTCTGCCGCTCTGCCCTTGCATGCAGCAACTGGCTGTGAGGCGTCCAGGATGCGGGCAGGCACCCGGACCGTTAAATGCGCCAGCGACCACGTCTGCTCGATTCTGATCCAGCAGGAAAGCCCCTGTCCCCCACCTGAGCCCTTGGTGTGTGGTCGCCTTATAAACCTAGCCGGCCGCCCTCGCTCTGCTCGTCTCGCAGCTGCGTTGCTGGGAGCTGTCAGGACTTCCAAGTAGGTGACAAAATTATAAACTTAAGGGAAATGCAGTTGACCTTAACATCCTTTTATTGCCCCAAGTGTGAGAGCTCTGATCCCAGCACAGCTGCATCCGCACGGCAAAGATGCTGTGGACCCCATTCAGCCTCATGCCGCTGGAAGAGCTTGCAAGACCAGCCGTTCCCCCGGGAAAGCTGGAGGAGCGTGCAGTGCTGCTGGGGCATTTCCGTGGCACTCGGAGCCCAGCGAGCCGGTGAGCGCCGCAGCCAGGCGTCCCCTGCAAGAGCATCAGCCCTGCGGCAAACAGCTATCACCCGCCTGCTCCCGAAACCATGGAGGAGAGAAGAGCGAGCCCCCAGGGCTGGAGCCCCCACCCCGTCCCTGAGGCTCCTTGACCTCCCGCCCTCGCCAAGCTGCAGGTCCTGAGAGAAGCTGGTGGGAGAGGGGACAGACCGACGCAGGCGGGGAGGGAGAGGCATTGGCTCACCTGTGGCAGAGCCGAAGGCTGCGTGGAGGGGCTGCTCAGGGAGCGTGGCAATCCTCTCAGCTCGGTGGCTCATGCACCTCTGGGAGAGCAGAGCCGCAGCGGCGCAGAGCTCGGGGTGGGCTTGTTGGCTGCTTCCCGGCAGGAAATGACCGTCGTGGTCTGACATCCTGAGACAGCCCAGCGCGGATGACATTTGACTCGGTTTCCAGCCCCAGGGCTCGGCTCCCATTTGATTTTGCTGCAGGGCTGGGAATGGGCATGGGGAGGCCTGGGGCAGGTGTCGGTGTCGAAGCTGCAGGTGCTCAAGGATGGAGTGGGGCTCCTTGGGGCTCCTCCGGGCGGGTCCTCTCCACCATCACTCCCGCAGGACCCGGCTGCTGTGGCCCCACTGGTCTCAGGGGCTGGATCCTGCCTGGGTCCTACTGCGACTGTGGACAGGAGGGGAAAATGCATCCTATGGGATAGACCCAGCTGAGCCAGGTCCTCCCCCGGCTCTGGGAGTCCCAAGGGGTTAGGGTGGGTTAAGGCAAATGTGCCATTGACTGTCCCCGATGCTCACGTGATGCCGGGGTGAGCTCAGGGTTTCCTTTGGGGGAAAAAGGGCCAAAAGCTGAACATCTCTGGCAGGTCAGCGCTGCCTGTTGCTCCGAGCTGTCGCAGGAGTTGATGGCAGATGGCTATCGCCACAGAAACACCTCTGGCCGGGCAGCAATTAATCACTGAGCTGTGATTGCCTCGCAGTTTTGCAGGGGAAGGGAGTGGGCTTGAGCCTTGCCCTGGCACTGGGGAGGGGGCTGATAGGCAGAAAATTTTGCATCAAGCTGCAAGTCCTGCAAAACAATTGCAGGAAATCTCCTTTTCGAGTGCAGACAAGACTTTGTGATCAACAATCGGCTCGGAAGGAAGGCACGGCCAGAGCGGGGAAGCACGAGGGCACTGATAAGTCGGGTCTCACAACAACAAGCCTGGTGCCGGTGACGCCGTGCGCAGGTACCCAGCCCCAGCAGGACCGAGGCCCCAGGTTGCAAACAGGAACTCAGTGGCTTTGTGCTCGCCCCAAGCACGATGGGGCGCGTTTTGGCTCAGCTGTGGGACGGGGGCCATGGGGGGGGGTCACAAAGGGCCACTCTGCCGCCCGATGGATGGGGGGACTTTGCCTCTCCTGGGAGGCAGGGATGCCATTCTGTTTCCATTTAACAGGTCAGGAAATTTCCACATTGAACTCTCGGATGGAGAATGACCTGGGTGCTGCAAATCTTTGCTGTCAAGATTTGCACAGGGGCTGCCAATCCTAGTGGGGACGGTGAGGACCGGGAGCTGGTTGCATTTCCAAGCCAGCCAAGTCGTGGTGAGTGGGGCAGGTGGCTCAGCCCCTTCTCCCCATCCCTGCCACGATGCTCGGGGCACCCTGAGGCTGGGGGCGG